CTATATGTTGAGGTGAGATATAAAAATCAGTCATCTAGGTCCTCTGTAGCAGATATGAAGCTCCCAGAACATGTTGACTATGTCAGTATTCTGGGGATGGATATACTTGGGGGAATATGTGAGGTCATCGGTAATATAAGGGTGGCTATCCAAAAGAGCACAAGAAACTATGATGGGGACAGAGATATATATGAGGATTACCTTAACATTACCCAGATGAATATTAGAGATCTAGAAGGGTTAAGAGATAGCGAAAAGGAGCGGTTATCTCAAATATTCAGAAAACACCCTGGCTGCTTCGAAGAATCAGTCGAGGGATTGACTGGTATGATAGGTGAAGCCAGTAAATATACGGCAATACCGTATCCCTAAATGTCATCTGCCAGGGCTGAAGGCATTAACTAATGCATACTTAATGGCCGGGATAATAGAAGAGAGTGAGTCAGCTTGGAATTTGCTGATCCACATACTGGAGAAAGAAAATGGCAAAATAGGTCATTGACCCATCTAAGGTCAAGTGTCATCCTTAACTGCCACTCAGGAGTTCCTAATAGCTCGTGTTGATGAGATTCTCAGTAAATTTCATGGAAGTTCATTTTTTCTGTGCTTGTTCTAAAATCTGGATACTTCCAGATAAATCTAGACAGCTCTATTAGGCATGTATATGCATTTTCCACCCCATGGGGAAAATACCAGAAGGTTCTTCCAAGCAACGATGTCAAGGGTACTAGCTCACTTTCTCAGGATCAATTGTTACATCTTTCAAGATGATTTCAAGCGATTTGGAAAACAACACTAAGACCATATTGTGTTATTAGATGAACTTATAGGAGCCCTGAATAAAGTTAATTTGAAACTGTACCCCAAGAAGAGCTCCGTCCTCATCACAGAAGTTAGATATTTAGGCCATGTGATAAGCCAAAGCAGTATTCGTCCAGACATATCCAATGTGTGCACCATTCTCGATATGAGGCCACCCAAAAATGTGAAGGGGGTAAGAAGCTTTCTAGAAATAGGTATAAAACTCCTAAACAAGTTCTCTACATTCCTTAAGGGATGCAAAGTGTGCCAGCAACATAATTTGCACAGGGGTCAAGCCCCAATCCAGGAAATGTAAGTTGCTGAGTTCTCACTCCAAAAGGTGGCAGTTGATATAATCAGCCCATTGCAAACAACCCAAAATGGTAATTAATATATTCTCACTATAGTAGACATATATACTAGATATGCAGAAGCTGTTCCAGTCCCGAACCAATCCTTGTGGCAGATCACGGATAGTTTCTTTTGTAATATAATATGTAGATATGGTTGCCCAGAGGTGGTAATGTTGGATAGAGGGTCCAACTTCACTTCGAGCATTTTCCAGGAGATGTGTACCAAATTGTCCATTAAACGTAACGTCACAACTGCATACCATGTGTGAATGGTTAAATAAAACTATCTGTAAAATCATTGTGAAGACATCAGGAGAGATGGACAATTCTACCCATACTGCTACCAATAAATCCCCTGCATTCCTGTTACATGGATTTGAACCCCAATTTCCAAATGCTTTTCCAGAGGATAGTGTTGAAGGAATGGATGCCCAACTCGATGGTCTGAGTTCTTCACAAAATTAAATATTAGGAAAGTTGCATACGAGTTGGGGAGGCAACAGAATTGTAAAAATAGGAGCAAGAAAGGACGAGTATGGGAGAGAGGGCAACATGTCTGGTTGCTTCAGAAAGGAAGAAGTAAAGGTACTGGGAAGTTTTCTACTAAGTACTTACTCAGGGCCTTATAGGATCACACACATCTTGGGCCCAGTGACTGTAGAACTTGGCACTAATTGCCAAGATGAAAGGTTAGTGGTGCACACTGACCGAATCAAAGAATGCTATGCCCCTATATATGAAGAGAGTAGAAGGGAGAAGAGATGCAAGCTGAAAGGAGGAAGATCCCAGTACTTATGTGAGGACTTGGTTACCGTTACCAAACAAAAGGCCTGCTCCAAACATCACGATGCAAGAAGCAGAAGGAACCAAATGTGAGGAGACCAGAAGACAAGACAATGGTAATGAGGAGAAAAAACAGCACCCTTATAATACAAGGGGGATGTAAGGTCGACTACCGCAGATTGCACTGTGGAGTTGACTTTTAGGGGGCATATCAAAACTTGTATATTTATATAATTTATATAGTCATAATTCTATTCTATTTTGATGGTTTCCTCTATTTCTGGGACGACTGTTATTGCCTTTGAGTAGGATTGGCCATTCCACAAACAGGAGGAGAACAATAAGAGGTAAGGTGACCGGGTGAAAAATGACTGATGAGTTGGTCAGTTTTGGACTGGAAACCAAATGGGTTAGACACGTCATTAAGAAGGTCGAAGGGAGATCTAGACTAGAGGATCGTGAGGACAAAGACCGTTAAGAAAGGCGATCCATACTAGCGGAAGGCTCGAAAACGTTTCTGAACTTCAGAGAGGATTGCATAGTTTGGTGAGGAAAGAAGGATCATACTTAGGCATTGAATTGGGAAGAGAATTCAAAAATCAAGAACCCTGCGGTCAGCAAAGGAATCGACGAGATGGCAAGTACAATAACCTCCAAAAGAATTACCCAAGATCATACCGGCACAGACAAAAGAACAAATCCCGGGTGACTGTAGACTTCCATATCCCTATTTCTCTCTTTAGGTTAAGTTAATTTTAAGATAGTTTAAGAGTTAGTTAAGTAAGATTTATGTATGTGGTTAGGCTAAGAAAATTGTTATGCGACTATTCTGCGGAAAGTTATATTCCCGAATTGTAAGGTGACACAGTTCTTTAGAACCTAACCTGTTTGTCGTGAACAAAGACAGAATTGTGTGCCTTTTCTTTTGTTTGTATGTTTCCTTCGCAGGCAACATCACATCACATAACAAACTATCACATGTGTATGTATCATGTACATACAACTCCTAGACAAAAAATTAGAATATTCACCTAACTGAAAGTTTAGTGTACATTTTCTCATGAACTACACAGAGTACGAAACTTTTTTTCGACCCTACATAAACAATGTCTACATATATTTATTATACCCATTAACCAGATAAATTAACTCAAACGATTTTTTTGTTACAAATGGAAATGAAATGACAAAAAATTAGAATATTAGCGAAATATGGGTTAAATATAGGAAATACAACAAAATAAACTTATTTTGTGGTATTGCCATTTGCCATAATTAGTGCTCAAAATCTGTCAGGCATGGTGCAGATTAATGTTTTGCATTCGTTTCAAATGTGTTGAATGCATGTCACTAATTCCTCTTTAGAAGTTGATCACCATTCATTAAGTCATTGTTTCATGACTCCCCACAAAATTTGAATAGGTTTAAGTCTGGAGAATTACTTGGCCAAGGCAGGATTGCAATCTGTCATTCTTGTAACCAACTTATCGTTGACTTCATGGCATTACAGGATGCTCCGTCTTGTTGGAATAGAAATTTTTCTCAATTAAATCTTCTGCCGATGGTATAATAAATGTCTAAGATGTCTTGACATGTCTGTGCATTGACACATTCCCAAAGAATGTACAATTATCCTATGCCATTAGCACTCATGCATCCCCAGATCATGACAGATGATGCAAACTTCATGAATCTCTTCATACAGTCTTTTTTGGTTGTTCTCCATACATGTGGGCCTTGGTGGAGAGACAAAACAGGGATTCGTCACTGAAGAAAACATTATTCCAGTTGTCTTGTTCCACATGAGACTCTCTGCACCATCTGACACTTGCTTGGTGTTGCTTTTTCATTAGAGATGGCTTCATCTTGTGAACACAGCAATTGAAGTGCAAGTTGTGCAACCTTCAGCATATGGTTCGTTTACTAACGTTCACTCCAGTTGCTCTCCATTGTGCATGCAAGTGTTTAACATTCTTAAAGCAGTTTCGCATGACAATCTTTCTCCAGTTTTTTCATCCCTCACAGTTGTTGCTCGTTTACGTCCAAATTTCTGGCATTTATTAGTTAAAACTTGAACATGGTTTTGTTGTTTAGTACTCTAGAGGCTGTTGGCTGCAAGCATTTTACGTAATTCACAATTTCTTTTTGTGTTCTTTCTTCTTTGTACAAGGCTATGATGATATCTTTAGTTTTGTCACTGATGTCGCACTTATGTCCCATGTTGAACTGTTATATTGCTCTGCCTAGCAATATGGAAATTTGCATTACAATTTAGTTTTTTTTATGGCTGTTTGGTTGTTTTTGCTAATATTCTAATCTTTTTTGTCATTTCATTTCCATTTGTAACAAAAAAGTTTGAGTTAATTTGTCTGATTAATGGGTATAATAAATATACATAGAGTACAAAACTTTTTTCTACCCTACATAAACAATGTCTGTGTTGTTCATGAGAAAATGTACACTAAACTTTCAGTTACGTGAATATTCTAATTTTTTGTCTAGGAGTTGTATATTAAATTTGAATTTTGAAATATTTATATAATATGATATTTTACATAATGTAAAACTAATCAAATTTTATTACCTGAAAGTATTCTTGACCAATCTAAAATGAAAAATTCATTATGAAATATAGAAAATTAATTAGATTTTTAAAAATTGCATTTTTCTATTAAACAGAGTAGAAGATAAACTTGAGGAAATTCTGACAATATTATACCTAATGATAAATTTGTTTTTTTATAGTCTTTCTACTGCCAATATCTAGAAATGACAATCCTATATGCTCAGATTTATATATAAAACTTTAAAAAAATTCACAGACAAAGAAATGAAACAAGCAACATAACAAATGAAATTCATTGGAGGAAACAACTTCTAGAAAAATATATACATAAAAATACTGTTTATGTTCCCTATTATTTGTAGGGAATGAATATTTAACCTTTCAACAGTGGGATAGTCAGGTATGGTGCTACCCCAAAGTAGTGGAGAATAAACATGGGAAATTTTTAATACTTTTCCATGCGCTTTTTTCTCATTACCATTTTGTAAACAGTTATGTCTAGTAAAGAAATCTTTTTTTATTGTTACATAAAAAATGAATTATGTGAATTATTTTTTGTGGTAGTTTTTGGTGATACCCCCAAAAGAATTTAATGGATATATCCATCCCTCACCACTGCCACACGATTGCCCTGAATGAATATATCTGTCTCTCACTGTTGAGTGGTTAACTATTCTTTTATTAACCTATAACTAATCATACATGACATCAATACATGTTCTCTCAAGAAATATTGATAAAAATTAAAACAAATGCCTTACTAAACTCCAGCAATTATTTAATGAAAACAAAAATGTTTTGATCCAAACCTTTTGTTCTGCATCAGTTGCTTTAAAAGAAGAAAAAGAACAATTTCTTTTTCATTAACTGCAAGAATAAAATATCATCACATTAAAATACTGCTGGAGTTTAGCAATGTATTTGTTTTATTTGTTATTTTATATTGATTAAAGATAACTGGCCTTTGTTATACTGTAAAACAATATTCATTGGGATAAAATAATTCAATAGAATAGAACCAAAGATAGAAATGTTAGTTTTTATCTTATTAATGCATTAGACTATTTAATCATAGTTGGGTGTATTAATAATAGCTATTCATTACACTTATGAACATGTCTTTTAATGCATGAAAAATAATCTTGAATTTTAATTACATAAAAATTTATTTTTTAAATTATAGAAATTTATAACGTTTATCTCAATATAAGGAATTGATAAAAACAAATTAGAGTCTAGTTATGAATCTAAGTCTACAAAAAATATAAATTTAATTTGAATTATATACATATAATTTAATATAAAATATAAAACTGTAGTGACATGTATTGATATCATTTAAATTACACATTGAAAGTAATAATTCACCATCAATGAGATAGAAAAGAACAGTAGAATAACTTATAATAAACTTAAAATAAAATGGAATTTTCAGTTGTAGCATTATATTTAAAATACTAATTTATGCAATATACTCTGTATATTAACTATCATAAAACATTTGACTTTACAATATACATATTTTTACACACATTTAATATACTGTATATACTTTATAGTAACATAAAAGAATTATACAGTATACATTTAAAGAGTTGGTGGTGCTGTCTGTTGTTTAGGTGGATTTGGTACAATATTCCTAGATATAAAATATTGTACAGCCTGTTGTGGTAGTTCAGCTAAAACTTCTTTTGCTAACAATGCAGGAGACTAGAAGAAAAATAAAGTATGCATTAAATAAATCAACATGGTACAATATTGAATAATATAATTAAAATTATTCAATTTTTCATGTTTTATAATTAAGAAATTATTAAGTCTCTTTTTTCATAACAACAATAAATACATGCATAATTAACATAGTGTATATCTAGTTAAGATAAAGAATAGACTAATAATTAAACTTTAACATTGAATAATATATTAAGAACAAAAAAGCTGGCAAAGGCTCTTGCACAACTTATCCATCACTTGAAGAGGTTGTTGTGACTATGCACAATAACACAGAAAGGGTTGAGACTAAGAACAATACACTTTATTGTTCGTTCGGAAACAGATACACAGTTCCAAAAATGGCGGGACAATGGTCCAATAACTCTCCAGTCACGCGACTCCACTAATTTTCCTTTTTTGCTGTTGAGGGGTACCCTTGTTGTCACATCCCTCACACCAGTTAAGGCTGGGTATGCATGAGCATATAAAGTATGTCTATTATGACAGATGTACATACTTTTGTACAAGTGTTATCTAGACAACACAAGCAAATAATGTACATCCATATGATGGGCATATTGTAGAAAAGTACCTTTACTGACATTGCTTAGACATCATATAATTAGACAGTGTTTGAAAGAAAATGGCAGATGGGATGGACACTAGTGAAACTCTAGTATTTTCTTATTTAGTAAAACAAAATATTTAAAAACTAAACACAAAGAAAATGGTGGGTTTATCCCATAAACAGTGAACATCACCTGTGTGGCAATTTTTGTACTTTGTGTGTCTTAGATAAGACACTGAATTTTTTCACTATTTCAGAATGTCTAAAAATATATCAATCTAGGCTGAAGTTTTTTCTTTTGCTCTTGTAATCTTTGCACGCAGTATCCCACAATAATTATCTTTTCTTGATTGACATTTCATACATAACTAGCTGTTACCCGTGACTTCGCCCGTGGAGGATTTGCAAGCAAAACCCCATTTATATTCAGTATTTCAACAACCATAGTAATTGTTATATAACACCTACCGCTGAGAATAATGATAATTGCCAAGAATCAAACTGTTTTCAATTTGATCAATTTTCTGGAACGCTTACAATTGTTCTATAATCAAACCAATATGCAATAACAAATTCAAATTGGTTCGAACATTTGGTTAAAAAATCGAAATATATGAAAATATTTATAACAATGTCTGAAATGTTATCAATTTATGGGAAAGTATGGAATCAATTTCAAAAGTCATTCTTCAGGTTAAGCCTTAATCCTTTCTCTCTTCCCCCGCTTGGGAATTTTGAAAAATCCCTTCTTAGTGTGCGTTTCCATGAAGTACCCTAACTGTCTACCAAATTTCACCTCTTTGCTCTGGGCGATGATGAATCAGTGACTAAGTCAGATTGAACATATTATCATCACATCAATTTGACAAGCTTTTGTTTGAACATTCATGCTGTCAAATGTGGTGATCAATGGGAGTTTGTCCAGATAAAAGCTCTTTCATAATGTCAAGCCAAGATGAGTTACATGTGAAGATTATAAAAAGGTTGGGTAGATCATAATTCTTTACACACATCATTGTATTGTGAATGTAAAGTGTTACACTGTAAAAATTATATAAGTATTTGGTTTTCCACATCTAACAACTCTTGTATTTTCATTTCTGAATAGTACTTTCTTAATTCTAATAGAGTTCCAGGATATATCATTGTCACAGTAATTAATTAAGTGAATATAATTTTAAAAAATAAATATTGATGATATATTATTCTTTTAGAAAAAGTTATTGACTTAGATAGTTTCTAAGAAAAAAACATTCCATTTTTTATTTAAAAAACACCATGTAATTTTATGTTATGCCTCTTATAACCATTTTTTACTAACGACCAAGACTATAAAATCAACTTTTTTATAAGCCTTTAATGTTATGCATTTCAGATACTTCACATCCCTCTTCAGGCTAAAAAATGTATATTCTTTTTTGTATGAATTTAATTATTTTTGCCAACAGATGACTACCCTATAATATTTATTTTGTGGTAGTATATAGCTTAGTATCAATTCTAGGGTCAAAGTAATACTCATACAAACTTTGGTCCAGAATGATTTAAGAATAAAAATTTGTATAACAGACAAACCAACAAGAATTCATTTGAAAATTTGATTAATTATGAATAAAATTTTATATGTAATAAATCAAAATTACCATTTCATACTTATGAAAAGGTACAAACTGTACAATATCTCTTTCGGCATAACTACCATCAGAAGCATAAAGTCGGCCATTGTCTCCATCTAAGAAATCCATAGCACTGAAATCAGCATGTCCCACTCCAATTATTATGATGGACATTGGAAGTCTGGAAGCTTGTACTATGGCTCTTCTGGTATCATTTATATCTGATACTACACCATCCGTTAAAATCAACAGAACAAAATAATGCTGAAAAATCAAAAATATAAATTTAACAAATAATTACATTGCATTTAGAGCTTAATAATTCAAAAATGTATTTTTTCATTTTTATGGATCTATATTTTATTTCAACCGGTTGCTCAAAAAAATAACAAAATACAGAACTAAGTTTAAAAAGAATAATTACATACAGTGGTACCTCAGGTTACGAACGCCCCAGCATACGAAATTTTCAGGATACGACATGAAATTCGAACATATTTTTGCTCCACGATACGAACAAAAACTCACCATACGACGTTACATTAGTTCGCATTTTTCATTTGTTTTTCTTACTACAGTTATTTTTTTTAATGTATTACTTGGCTTTAATTTGAGTATGTTTTTCGCGTTGGAACGAATTATTTGGTTTTACATGTAATCGTATGGGAAAAGATGATCCACCTTACGACATTTTCATGATACGATCTCGGTTTCGGAACGGATTAATTTCGTATCCTGAGGTACCACTGTATGATGATAATAAATAGCACTATCTAAATTCTTTATCAGCTGTTTCTTAAAATTAAAGTTTAAAGTGTCTTTAAAGTTTTAAACTTCTAGATTGGGGGTGCTCTGATCGTCAAAGCTGTTGGCGTGAATTTTTCTCCACGTCCATACTTTGTCTGATTTTTCAAGAAATGAAAAATTTCGAATTATTTTCAACTAAAAGGAATAATATTAATCTTCTTATTTTATTGTTATTGATTGCTGGAATAGAACCAAATCCCGGTCCCTTGCAGAAAACTCCAACAAAGAGAGGAAGACCACCTACTCGTCAGAAATTGCTTACTAATAGTATGAAACCATTGGAAGCAGATTCAAACCTTATCACTGAATATACTGAACCTAGAAGAGCTGAATCATCATATCAAACAGGTGAGCTAATTAATTTAACTTCCTCACAAGAACAATTAGCTGTGGAACAAATAGACATTTCAACAGCAGAATTATGGAATAAGATAGTCGAACTGATAACTAATAGTAATGATAAGTTGGTGAGTCAATTTTCACTTTTAAGACAAGAAATTAAAGAATTTAAAGATCAAATTCAGCAAATAAAAATAAGAAATGAATTTACTAAACTAAGACTAGAAAATGAATTAACTCAATATAAACTGGATACTATGAGTAACACTATAAATAATAATAAAATTATAATTTATAATTATACAAATCAGCTTAAAAATATTACTAAAAATGAATTAGCAACATTTTTTTCTAATACTTTAAAAACAGTTTGCAGTGAATCAGAGGATATAGTAAATATATATTCAATACCTAATTCAAGTATTCAAATTAAGTGCATAGTATTAAAATCAAACCAATTAAGAAATAGAAACCTTGCAGCCTTTAATAAACTGAAATATAACAAGACACTGGGAAATTGGCAAGAAATTAATATGTCAGCTGATTTAAATAAAGATTCTCGTAAAAGACAGAAAAAACTTTTACAATATTATACAGATTTTAAGAAACAAGGATTACAACTAAAACTACGTGATGACTATCTGTTAATTAATCGTCAAAAAATTACATATAGTTATATTCAGAATCAATTGGTATATGCTGATGATTTTTTGTTGTATTCTCTACAGAAAAACCCAATAACGTAATTAATTCAGAATTAAATGTGAAAATGATCAAGATACTAAAATTTCAAATAATCTTAACTTAAATATCATGAACTGAAACTGCCAAGGCTTAATCTCAATTACTATATAACACTGATATCTTAGGTATAACTGAAACCTGGCTAGTCACACCAGTTAATGAAATTATAAAAAATAGAATGGAATATACAATTATATCTTCTGACGCACAGAAACCAATAGGACCTGGGAGACCGCATGGAGGACTTTGTCTAATTTTAAGAAAAAAAACATTGGTTCTGTAAAATTTTTACAAAAAGCAACTAATTATATTCTAATCTCATTACAAATTGATAATACTGATATAAAACATTTATACAAAAAGTTAATTATTATAATGTTAGTTTACGTTCCGCCTGACCAGATATAGACTTACTAAAAAAATCTCGAAAAATAGAAAAATATCTCTCTTTATGTATTGTTGTTTGGTGATTTTAATTCCAGAATTGCACAGATAATAGATTCAGATTATAAAGGATCAAATAATCTAATCCACTTTAACCGGAAATCAAAAGATAATAAACATAACTATCCATCTGAATTTACTTATGTTGCTAATATTGGAAGTTCAATAATAGACCTTACAATATGTTCTGAATTGCTGCCTGACTTATGTGTAAAAATTCAAGTTTTAAATTGCGACCTATCTGATCATTTTCCAGTCACGACTATCTTTGAAATGGCAAATATCCAACTAAACAATAAAATATGATTATCTGAATTTTCAATTGCAAATTAGTGAAAAAATCAAAAATTTACCTAAATTTTTACCAAGAAATGGAATAGAAATATATCATCAATTGGAAAATCTAATAAAAAAAATTCATCAATATAAAAACCAATAAGTTTAAGAAGCCTTGGTATGACTTTTCTTTATTTTAGAGATATAACAGGTAAAATAAAGCCTTAAAGCAGTTTAGGAATATGTCAAATGAAACTAAGAAACTTAAGACAATACGAGGGCTGTTCAAAAAGTATCGGACCTTTGGTTGGCAAAAATACATTTATTGATTTTGAGGTACAAAACCCTAATCCCCTTCAAAGTAGTCTCCTTGGTAGTGTATACACTTCTCCCAGCCTTCCTGCCATTGCTGGAAACACTGCTGAAACGCATCTGTTGGAATGGCCATCAGCCGGTCCGTCGCATTCCGCACGATGTCTTCTCTCGACTAAAATTGGGTTCCTTTTAGCGGCATTTTCAGCTTGGGAAATAGCCAAAAGTCACACGGAGCCATGTAGGGAGAGTACGGAGCGTGACGAACCACAGGAGTGTTGTGTTTGGCGACGAAAGCCCGAATCAGATGCACAGAATGGGCGGATGCGTTATCACGATGGAGCTGCCAAGTTTTGATCGACCACAGATCCGGTCGTTTGCATTGCACAGCTTCGGAAAGATGGCGAAGGACCTCCTGGTAGTACTCCTTTGTGATGGTTTGGCCTCACGATATACCACCCCACGAGAGTCGAAAAAACTGTCAACATGACCTTGATATTGCTGCGGACCTGCCACGCTTTTTTTGGCCTCGAGGATTGTCCCCGAAAGTCTGCTGAATCTTGCAAATGGTTTACACTTGGGTATCACCAAGGTTTTTGGTAAAATTTGATGTAATATCGCTGCTCACGTTGTTCAATCATTTTCCAACTTAGTGGAATCCGACAAGAGCTCACTACATGTCCTCACTCATAGGCCGACTGCCAACGACTAACGCTTCCTGCAGGCGGGAAAAAATTCAGGACTGTGCATGACTGTCCCCTCCACCAAAAGAGGCCTCCCGCGCATCATTGGTATACACAGAAAAAATAAAAGTCCGATACTTTTTGAACAGACCTCGTATATCATAACTTGTTAAAATCTAAGAAAAAAAAATATTTTAAAAATCTTGAACATCAACTAATATTAAATAAAGATAATACTCTGTTTTGGTCAACAGTATGTAAACTGCATAAACAGGATACTGAAAATCAATCACAAATTGCCTCTTTAACCTGGTCACTTTATTATAAAAGGATAACTGCTATAACTAATATAACCATTATAGAGACGCTGAATCTGGGAAATGAAATTTTAGATCTGATAATTACCTATGACGAATTAGAAAACAAAATCTGCACCAGTTATGGATCTAATTACAGTTAAATTCTTAAAATTATTATCACCATCAGGAAAACAAGCATTGCTTGAATTATTCAATTCATTCTACAATTCAGCAAACTTTCCGGAAAATTGGAATACAGTAAAACTGATAATGATTTATAAAAAAGGAGACAGAAAAGATCCAGGAAATTACAGACCAATCGCATTACTACCAACATTAACGAAAATGCTTTACTTCTATACTGGCACTATGATTCCAACGATGGACTGAAGAATTTAACTTAAACTCAAAATTTCAATTCGCATTTATAAAATCAAAAGGAACAGAAATGGCATTATTCTTCTTATCATCAATAATACAAATTTATTTACTAAAAAAACACAGGAAAATATATTCAGCTTTCATCGATATATCAAAAGCCTTTGATTCAGTTCATGTCCCAACTTTGATAAATTAAAAATATGTGGCTCAGGAAAAAATTCTCAGATTCAATTGCGAAATTATTTTCAATCTACAGAATCAACATTAGTCACGGTAACCAGATATTCCCAGAATTAAACATAAACCGAGGATTACTACAAGAAGAACCACTATCGCCATATTTGTTTAATTTTTATTTAAATGATATCGATAAATTATTTCTACTCTACACTGAAGGTGTTCAAATTTCTGGAAGAATTTGCCATTATATATTATATGCAGATGATCTTGTATTACTTGCAGCACAAACTAAATATAATAAACAACTATCTGAATTCCCTGTTTTTAACAATCAATATCTCAAAAACCAAAATAATTATATTTAGAAATAATGTTAAACTCCCAAAACAAGAAAAATCATACTATTTAAATAATCAATCTCTCACCTTGGTAAATGAAATAAAATATTTAGGAGTATCATTCAATTGGAATTGTAATTTTCAACCACACCTGAAAAATCTAACTACAAAAATAAATACTTTAATAGACACTATTATTTATTTATGTGCAACTTTAAAAATGACAAATATAAAACTACAGATGAAATTATTTAACCTTTTGATTATCCCTTCAATATATTATGCAAGCCCTATTTGGGCAATAGACTTATTATATGATTTAGAAAAATTCCATGTTATTTACTTACGAAAATTATATAAAATAGAAAGAACAGTTCCTGGTTATGCAATTTGTGCCAAAACTAACAGATTCCAATTATTTCCATTTTATTTAAAGAGAGTGATAAGAGAGGCTCCAAGGG